CCCCCGCCATGCCCCCCGCCATGCCCCCCGCCATGCCTGCAGCGCTGCGGGGCCGCGGGGCGAGGCGGCTCTGCCGGGCCTTGGCCACCAGCGCTGCGGGGGCGGCAGCTTCTCCTCCCCCTGCCGAGCGGAGCCCCGGGGAGGTCCTGGCCGGAGGCATCCCCCGAGGTGGCGGGGCGGTGGCGGGGGGGACGGACGCGCCCCGCTGCCACGTACGCCGGCCGCGGCCAGCTGGCCCGGGCGGGAGCCTGGGAGGCGCGAGCACGTTGGCCGGCGGCTGCGAGCGAGCGGCGCTGGGAGCGAGCGGGTTTGTCCTCGGCCGACCCCGGCCGGCACGGGGAGATGGCAGCGGCCGGGGGGAACCCCCCCAGGAGGGCGGCGCGGCCGCCCCCTCGCTCAGCCCTGCCAGGCCTGGGCTCCATCCAGGGCTGCCAGCGTCCGCGGAGGCGAGCGGGGACAGATGGCAGCGGGGATGGGGAGAGCGGGACAGACAAAGGGAAGGCTGAGCCCCCCCTTCCCCGGGACTCTCCCCTGCGGGGTGCTGGCATCCAGCCCCTGCGCGCTGGGCTGGGGGTACCTGGGGGCGCAGTGCAGGGAGGGAGTGGGAGAGAGGAGAGACGGATGGGAGAGGGAAAGGAGAGAAAGGAAGGGAGGGAGGGAGAAAGGAAGGAAGAAATTAAGGTGGAGAGAAAGGGAAAGGAAAAGGGACAGGGAAAGGGAAATATGCTGCCACTATCTTGCTGCCCCAGCAATTCCAGCCCGTGGCAGAGCCCCACAACACAGCTAGCCTCCCCCCGAGTCCAATGCGCCCCCACCATGGCCCCTCCGATGCTCCCCCAAAACCAGCCCTGCACCACCACTACGCAGGGCTGAGGCAGCAGTTTCAAGCCCTTCCCCAGGACTAGCCAAGACCCCAGTGCAGGGACCAGTGTGACAGGGGACCGTCCCCATGCCCCAATTGGCAGTGCCAACCCTGATCGGGGGGGTAGGGGCACACCGGGGGCTTGCCGGCGTCTGTTCCCCCCCTCCCGCGGCCACGGGCGGGAGGGAGCACCGTGGGCATCTGCCGCCCCAGCTGTCCCTTGCCAGCGCAGCACGGAACCGGGCACCCGGCCAGGATGGCAACTGCGGCCCCGGGGAGGGCACGGCGCCTGCCAGCGCGGGGGGACGGCGGGTGGCGAGGGCGGGGGACGGCAGGTGCTCGTGAGAGGAGCTCGCTCATCTTTTATTCATCGGGTGTCTAACGGGGCGCGGAACCGCTCTGGCCCCTTGTCCCCTCCGGCGGCACAGGACGTGGCACCCCGTGCCAGGTCCCCGGCAGGCACCGCTCACGCTGCCGGGGCCGCCGGGCTGAGCAGGGCGCAGCTCGCTTCAGCGGTGACGCGAGGCCGGGGCTGGCAGCGGGCACTGCGGGGAAGCCGTCCGGCTCCGGCACGCCGCCGGCTCGGCGCACTGCGGGAGAGCCGGGGAAGCCCTGACCTCCCCAAGGTCGCCGGCACATCGATCCGGAGAGCTCGAGCACATGGAAACCGCCCCGGCCGTGCCAGCGCCAGGCTCGCAGCGGGGCCGGGCTCAGGAGCAGCGGCACCCCGGGCAGTGACGCTGCAGAGGACAGGGGTGGCGGGGGGGTGGCACCCTGGGGAGCCCCCTCCCATCCCGCTTCTGCAGCACGCAGCCGTGGGGGCAGGAACCCAGCCCCTGCGGTTTCTCTGCTGTCTTGTACCCTTGTGCTCTTTCCCGGGGAGTATCCTCCTGGACTTGCTGGGCTCTGCCTACCCCGTTCCCCTCAACGCCGGCCTCTCCCTGGCTGTTTGGCTGGGAGTAGAGATACCGGCAACAGGGGGAGAGTTTGCTTGTGTTCATCTGCGGGCTGGGGGGTTCTCCAGCCTGCCTGCCCGCCGGTGCCCAGCTCTGCAAATGACAGATCCCAAATATTGTGAACCCCATCAATCTTCTCATGACCCTGGCGATAAATATTTGCGCGGGGGCTGGCGGAGCGGCGGTGCCCGGGGAAACGCCTGCCCCTCCATCTGGAGGGGCTGAGCAGACGCTTGGCACGGCCGGCCTGGCACGGCCGCAGCGCGCCTGGGACGAGAGCCCTGGCACAGGCTCCCCGGCAGATTGGTGCCATCTGCCTCGCACCGCACCCAGCGGTGAGGCTGGTGGGGGGAGATAAGGGGCTGCCAGGCGGTGGGAGATGCAGATGCTGGCACAGCGCGGGGGTCCCTGCCTCCCCCCAGGTCCTGTCCACTGGCGGCAGCATGGCCGGGGCTGCCAGGAGCTCGATGCCACCCTGGGGCCCACTGCCTGCTTGCCCTGGGCACCCATCTGCTCCCACCCCGCTCGGTCTGGGGGCTCAGCCAAGGGGCACGGCCAGGAAAAGCTCACTGCAGGGCAGAGCCTGGACCCCCTGCCCCACTGAGCATGACGGCTGGGGAGGGGGGTGCAGAGAACCTCAGCGGGTGTGAGGGGCCAGCACTGCCCCTGTTCTGCCTCTCCCCGGCTCTGGGAGCCTGGGTGGGAGGGGGGTGGGGTCCAAGGATGGGGGCTACCAGCATGGGGATACAAGGATGCATAGATGGGGCTGCAGGGATGGAGGCACCATGGTGAGGGCTCAGCAAGGGAGCCCTTGGAGGTGGGGAGCACTGGTGGGAGGTGCAGGGAGGGGAGCACTGTCGTCCCCCCCCAGACTGGCTGCTGCCGACAGGAGCTGCTGAGAGGAATCTCTCCGTAATGCTCCGAAGGTCCTGGCACCATCGGCTGGGGAGATTGATTACCATTTTACTGCAATGCTTTTGACTTTCACCAGCGACCTCCGAGCTCCCCCCAGCCCCCCCGCCCCCCCGCCGCACACCCAGCTCTGGGCTGCAGCGCCGTCCCCTCCCCCACTGCGGTGTGCACAGCCCAGCCCTCACCCAGCCCCGCACTCATCCCGCACCCATCCTGCATCCAGCCCTGCTCCCATCCAGCGCTCATCCTTCATCAAACCCTGCTCCCCTCCTCCATCCAGCCCCGCACCCATCTTGATCCCATCCTGCCCCAAAGGTACCGGGGTGGCGGTCGCAGGGCTGGGTGCAGGATGGGAGCAGGGCCGGTGCTGCTCTGGGGAGGACCCAGGCGCCCGGCACTCCCTGCACCCCACGGCCACCCCCGGGGCCAGCAGGGCTGGGCGGGACCTCCCCGCAGCCTGGCACAGGTCCTGCCTCAGTTTGCCCACCCGGGGACGCGGAAAGCCGAGGAGAGGGGGAAGAGCCGAGGGGCAGAGCTCGCCTTTGACATGGGCCCGGGGGGGTCGTCCGGGCGCTCAGCCCCTGCCAAGGCTGCCCCAGACCGCGGGTGAGGAGCGCAGGGCCGGGGGCTCCTCCATCCCCCCATTCCCCGGCGTTGTCAGAGCAGCGGCTGGGAAATTGTGCTGACACCGGCAAAACCGGGCGGCGGGGGCGGGGGAGCGCGGGCGCACGTGCTCGGGCTGATAACGGAGCTGCGGGGGCTGCGGGGAGCCCGGACCGCCCGGCCGGGGGGGCCCGGCGCGGGACAGACCCTCCCAGCCCCTGCCTTTGAGGCTGGGGATGCTGCGGGCGGCGCGGGGGAGCGGGCAGGCGAGTGAGAGGAGGCAGGAGAGGGCAGGAGCGGGCAGGCAGAGGGAGCAGGAAGGAGGGAGGAGGCAGAATCAGGCAGGAGGGGGCAGGCAAGAACGGGCAGTGTGCCGGGCAGGAGCAGGTAGGAGGGAGCAGGAGGGCAGCATGTCGGGCAGGGAGAAGCACACTGAGCCCACGAGGCTGTGGTACAGTGATCCCCCACACCCCTTGAGTGCTGTCACTAGCCTGGCCATGCCGTGCAGGGTCCCACCGATGTGGTGGCTTCTTCCCTGCCTCAGTTTCCCCACCAAGGTGGGAGGCTGGAGACCCCTACCATCAGCCACAGCCTGACTGAACATGCCCACTGTGGGCTGGGACCAGGCCATGACGAGCACCCAGCACCCTGCAGCACCTCAGGGGTCTCACACTATTGCTCCTGGCCCATGCTGGTCCCCCTTAACCAGGGCCAGAGCGACCTTAACAGTGAAAGTGAGAGGCTGCCAGGCCTTATCAGAGAGTATTTACAGCCGCTGTGTTCCCAATTAGACAGTCAGGTGACTGCGGCTGCTGGGGACCCAGACACTGGGGTCAAGGTCGCTGGTGGAGGGGCGGGGGGTGGGAGAGGGGCAGCCACCTCCCAGGGACAGCGGCTGGACACGGCGTGGCCAGGGAGGCACACCAGGTGGCAATGGGGACCCCATTGCAGAGGCTGTGGGGGTTTTGGTCCCTGCCTTCAGCTTGGCCACTGTAGCACTCCCAGTCCAGCATCAGGGCGCTCCCAGCTCAGCCCAGTCCAGGGTACTCCAGCCCAGTGTGACACTGCACCTCCAGCTGAGCCAGCACAGGGTGCCCCCAGTCCAGCCCAGTATGCAGTAACCCCATCCCAGTGAGTACAGGGTGCCCCCAGTCACAGCATGCAGCAGCCCAGTTCAGCCCAGCATGGCCCTGTCTCAGCCCAGTACACGACACCCCACTCCCTGTCCAGGCGCACAGGACACCCACAGCCCCCAGCCTGCCCCCTGGGCCCCTGTTCCCAGCAGAGCACCCACCCTTCCCAGTGCCCCATTGGGTCCCTTGGTGCCATGGAGCGGGTGAGTCACGTGTGTGGGCACGGGTGCTGGCAGCACACGTGCTCACACACCGGGGGCACGGCTGGGCGGGCAGGTCCTGGCTCACACGCGTGTGCAACCACAGGTGTGCCCCACACCAGGGTCTGGCCCTGGCTATTCCCTGCTGGAGGCTGTGCCCCACTTTTCCCCAAAGCCACAAGGGCCTGGTAGTCCTGCCAAACCCCTTCCCTGGGTAGTGGGGGCGGTCACATGCTTGCCCTGCCTCGGTTTCCCCAGTGACACCCAACATATCCCACGGATGGCCGGGCAGAGCATGTGCCCACCACAACTGACAACACTGGCACTGCTGGCACCAGGGCACTGTCTGTCCCTAGGCTCTGGCCAGTACCAGGCAAAGAGCCACAGCCTCACGTTCCCCCTGCTGTGGTGCTGATGAGGGTGGGCTCACGGGGCCAGGGGACATCACCTCGTGCTGTGGACATGGGCAGGAGGTGCTGCCAGGAGGGGACCAATATCCTGCCACCCCCACACACCTGGGTAGCCTGGCCTGGCCAGGGGCGGCCATGAGACCCTTGATTCCCCCCAGGCCTGCAAGTCACAGACCCTCCTGTCTGTGAACCAGCCCTGCAACCGCCCAGCCCTTGGCCGGGATCACACAGCATCTTCCCTGGCTCCTGTGGGTGCACCAACACACCTGGGGGTGCTGACGGATGGATGGCAGGGTGTGTGGGGGACCCCAGCTGCTGGCAGGGTGTCTGTGCTAGCATGTCACCAGCTGGGGACAACAAACCTGCCCAGGTAAAATCCCTTCTTCTGAGCTTCCCCTTCCCAGCATGTGGGGACGTGACGTGAGCTGGTGGAGAGGACAATGGCTCAGGGACCCAAACGGAGAGCTGCTGCCTGCGCTGCACTTTGTGACTCAGTTTCCCCCTTTGACTGATGGCTTTGAGAGCAGGTTTGACCCTCCTTGCTGCAGTGAAAGCAGCCAGTTCTCCCAGCAAGTCCCTGGCATCCCCAGGCAGGTGAAGGGCCAGGACCAGTATCCACAGCAGGAGCTGCCCCCACCAACGTTTTTATTGCTGTGCCCTCCCCAGCTGGCCTTGCTGCTCTGTCCCTGCTCTGGCATCAAGGGATTGGCACCATAGTCCATGGCAAATGGGCACTGCTGGACCTCTTCCAGCTCCAGCCCTTGGGGATGCACCAGGAACAGGCTGCTCCTTCCCTGCCCAGGCTACCCACCCACTCCTCTCAGCTAGGCAAAGGACGTGGGGTTAGCTCTGGGTTTAACCCCCAAAACTCCATGCTGGGAATGCCCAGAGACAGGAGCATTCTCAGGGACCTTTGTGTCCTGCTCCTGGGCAGCTGGGATCAGCCCTGGCTGGGGGAGAGGGGCCAGGGTGAGGGGCACCCACCCGAGAAGCAGTTTGGAGAGATAAGCACTGCAAGGTCTGCAATGGGAAAGGTGTTCAGGAGCAGTGTCCCCAGCTGGAGTTGGGATGGGACAGACGGAGAGGGAAAGCTAAAGCAAACCCCCCAGAGATGGCTGTGGCAGGGCACAGCCAGGCTCTGCCCTGCAGGCAGACGAGCACCCACCTCTCTCACGGACGAAGTACGCCAGGTAGAGGTCGAGCTCCTTGACAGAGACGCTGATGTGGTGGGGCTGGACGCAGAGGATGGGGTTGGTGCACTGGCCCGACTTGACCAGGCGCTCGCCGTCGGTGCTCTCCAGCGGGATCCCTTTGAAGAGGATGACCATGACCAGGTCCAGCCGCCACACCTTGTCCGCCTGCCGCAGGCAGTCGATGCGGCGCATCTTGCCTTTCTGGTCGGGGTTGGAGAGGACGCAGCACGAGGGCTTCTTGCCCGTGATGGAGAGCACGAAGTCCTCGCGGCACTCGGGCCGGATGTCCTTGCGCAGCTTGGCCAGGAGGCGCGAGGCCCATTTCTGCTTCACCTCCGGCTTCTCGCTCAGCAGCTCGTCCTTCACCGCCCTCTCCTCATCCTTTGTCATCCTCTTCTCATGCTTCTTGAAGTACTTGCGCTTGCGGGCCTGCAGGTTGAACCAGGTGTAGGCAAAGGCCCTGACGTGGGGGAGCAGCGCCTCAATGAAGGGGTGGAACTCATCCTGTGGGAGCAGAGGGACAGGGGGTCACTCCTGGCCGAGTCCCTCCAAGCTCCCTCCCGAGGTGGCTGTGGAGCCCTGGGGACCTGCCAGGCTCATTCCCACTGGGCTGCATTCCAGTGCAACCAGAAGAAAAAGCTGTGGCAGAGGCACATGCCCACCAGGGTTGGGGATCCTCTCACCACCCAGCGAGGTTATCCCCATTCCAGCAGACCTCCATAAATCCCACCGGCTGCAATTTCCCCAGGCCAACAACCTGCAGGGAGTGGCTGGGCAATACTGGAGCCAGTTCTACAAGGGGACAGGTTCCTGCACAAGGTTGGCCACCTCAGCAGCACCTGGACCCTCTCCCCTTTGCAGGATCTGCATGCCAGGATCTGCTCCCATCAGGTGCAGAAATCCCACCTGAAATCCCAGCTGACGCTGTGCCCACCGGAGCCGCTGTGCAGGCGTCAGGCGCTGCCAGACCACAGCACCCCAGTGCTGGGTGCCCCATGCCTGCAGCATGCCGGGTGCTCCCACTCGAGCTGTGGGTGCCTTGGACCTCTCCACTCCCTCTGGACCAGTGAGAAACTCCCCCCAGTTTGCCCCAGTTGCAGCCAGCCCGGCGGCTGGCGCCTGGCCCGGCACACAAGACGTGCTCTGACTGCCTTTTTCCATTTGGTGAGCGCTGCTGGATGAGTCCAGCCCCAAAAAGAAAACAAGGAAAATGCATCCCCATCCCTGGCCCCTCCTTCTCGCATCCCATTTTTTTTTCCAATTTGGAAAATCAGTGCTTCCTGGCCGGGGGCCCACAACCCCACCATGGGATGGAAAGGTGTTGGGAGCCTTCCTGGTGAGGAGCAGCACAGCTTGGAAGGCAGCAGGCACAGGGTTGAACATCCCTGTGTGTAGCCAGGGCAGCACCAATCTGGTCTCCAAGGGCAGGATTTGGCCCTTGGGGTCCCTCATGACTGTGGGGAGGAGGAGGAGGAAGGAGCTCAGCTGGATTCCTGCCAACGTTGAGAGGGGGATGGCTGGTGACAATTGCCACTGCCATGCCAGAGGGTCATGCCTGGGGAGAGTGCCAAAGGCAAGTGCTGCTCTGAGGTGAGGAGGTGGCCACAGGCAGGAGTTGGGAAAGGACAGAGCTGTGGCTGTGGGATGGGGCGAGCACTCCAGATCTGGCCCCACTCATCCCCGAGCAGTGATGCCATTCCCTGGCTGAAGCAGCTGTGTCCCAGAGTAACCCTGCCTAGAGGGAACAATGTCCCCTGAAACAGGCTCCCGGCAAGCATCGGCCCCATACAGACCCTGCTACTCCCACTTGTTCTCAAGTCCAGCACAGATCCCATTAACCCTAAATCTGCTCCCCCAGCACAAACCCTGACAACAGCAAGCGTGGGTCCTTGGGTGTCCACTGAACTAGTCACCCCTGAACCAGACTCTGCTGTGACCTGGCACAGACATCCCAGTGCAGATCCCACTGTCCCTGAACCCAGCACAGACACCAGTAACTGCCAGTCCCAACCCCAGCACAGCCCCAGTAACCCCCCAAAAGTCCCTGCACACGCAGATCCTTCATGGGACAGACCCTGCCACCTCTGGGAGTCACCAGCTCCTCTCTGGACCCAGAGCTGTGGCCCCACAAGTGTCCCTGCCATGCCCAACAAGGGACAGGGGACTCATTGTGCCCACAGGGACCCAAACTTTCAGGCAAACCTGTCCTAACCCTAGGGACCCGTCCCTGCCCAGGGGACTCATCCTGCCAGAAGAACCCCTCTTTGCCTGGAGACCCGACTCTGCCTGGGGAACCTGTCCCCACCGGCTGCTCCCGGGGACGCCACAGGGTCTGATTCCCTCTTCCCTCCCCAGCAGCAGCCGCTAATTCAGTGCAGCTGGGCAAGGGCTGGGCATGTGTCTTAAATCAGGGAAGAAGGTCAAAGAAAAGTAAGACAGGAGCCGAAAAAAGCAGCAGTGAGTTCCAAAAACAATACTTGGCCGGGGCGGTGGGCGGCTGATCTTCCTTGGTGGCCGGTTATTCAGACGAGCTCGACAAATTGCTGCCATCCCCTGGCCCCGCCACCCTCCCCAGGCAGCCGGCGGCAGGGCTGGCCGCAGGGCCGGGGGGACACCGCGCCATTGTCCCCATCCCTGCTCTCCCGCTTGGGGAGTGCCACCCCGGGCACCACTGCAAGGAAGCGTGGCAGGAACCCGGTTATCCGGGTTGGGTTGGGCGAGGCAGCACCCTCGGGTGCTGCTTGCTCTCGCTGTGGGGGCCGGGGGCTGCTCGGTGCTCTGCCTCGGCACGGCAGGAGCAAACCCCAATTTCTGTGCCCTCCCCCGCCAGGGTGCCGAGAATTCGCGGCTCTCACTTGGACCCACAACTGAGACCCTCCAAAAACCCGCTGAGTGCAGAAGCCCCCGCAGCCCTCGGTGCCCCCGAAGCCACGGCAGCCCCCCCCCGCCTTGCCCGGGATTACGGCAGGCCGGGAGCTGCACCCAAAGCCAATCAGCCCCTCGCCAACTTTCCCTCCCGCCCGGCTTAACCCGCGCAGCGATGCCGCGGTTAAGCGGCTTTAGCAGGGCAGGCGAGGGCGGCTGGGGGGCATCGGGACAAGCACACGGGAACGGCTGCTACGGGGGCTCAGGGGACACGCTAAAGGACGTGGGGACAGTCCCCAGCCGTGCAGGCAGTGAGCCCCGCAGCCGGGCACACCATCCCGGCTGGCACCAGCCGGCTTCATAGCGGATCCACTCAGGAAGGCAGAGGCAGGGATGCACTGTCTGTCTGTCCGTCCCAGCTCCAGATTCCCACCGGGTTCCCCCAGCCCAGCAGCCCGAGCGCCGGCAAAAGACTGGTTAAGTGTTTCTCCTGCTGTTTTTCCTTTGCGGGGCTGGGAAGCAGAGACGTGCTGCAATACCCCAGACGAGGCTGCTCCCGGGGCATTTCCGGATGGGAATCTGGCAGCAGAGCCTGCGCTTGGGCCTCATCCAACCCAGGCTTGTAAAGCCCTGCAACCCAGGCAGGAGCACGCCTGCGCCGGGTGCTGCCGGCCCCGCTCCGGGCCCCCCTGCACCCCCCTTCCAGGGGCTGCTGGAGCGCTGGCTTTCCATGCCAGGTGCTGTGAGGGGAAACTGAGGCACGGGTCAAGTCCGGTTCTGTCTTGCGGTGGAGCGGGGAGAGGAAGGAGGGATACTCTGTGTGGAGCTGGGCATGCCATGGAGGATTAACTCCTCCGCAGCCCAGGGTTTGGCAGCGCCAGGGATTGGGAAGGGGCACAGCTGAGGCGCTGCCTCTTCCCGTGCTCCTGCGGCCGGCTCGGCAGCCCTGGGGCTCTGCACTCCGGGGACAGGGGGGACGCTCCGTGCCACGCAGGGACACGGCACCTGGCACGGGCACCGCGGCATGGGCTGGCCACCCTCCGAGCATCCTCCGCTCCAGCGCCTTGTCCAAACAGGTCGGGCTCAGTGAAACAGCCTGAATTTTCCAATGAAAAAAACCCGTTTCCTCAGGAAATTCCCGAGCAGTTTTCACGGGGGAGGCGCTGGGGTGAGGGGCGGAGGAGGAGGAGCGGGACGGGAGGGGTCAGACACCTCGGCAGTTGGTTTTGCTCTCCCACCAGCACGGCCTCGGCTGCGGGGAGGAGCGGGATGCCATCCCCACCGCGGGCAGGGCGCAACGCGGGACAGCCTGGCTGCATGGCAGCCCCGCAGGGATCACACAGGCTTCACTCCATGAAAGGATGCTCAGCCGCCCCTCCAGCAGCCGCACACCTCCGAACCGCTGCCGGCTCCCACGGCCGCCGCTCCTGCCAGGTCCCGCTCCCCGCGGCCCTGCGAGCCCGGGCAGGGGCTGGCAAGTCGGGCGCCGGGCTCCGTGCCCCCATGGGAAGCCTTGGCGTGGTGGCAGGGGGGGATGCGACTACAGAGGTTCCGGTAATCCTGAAAATCCCGGTACCTTAAAAGGGCACAGCGGGGACTCGCCTTCTCCTCACCAGAGCCCACAGATGCCCTTAGCGTGGACCGGAGCCTCCGGTAGCCGCTTATAACTGTTCGCCGAAGCGGCTCTGGGTAATGAGTTAACCTGGTAATGAGACCTGTTGCCGAGACAGATGCAAATGATTGGGAAGTGCTCATTAGAGGGGATGGAAGGAGGCACTTAGGCCCTGAAAGGCACCCAGCCCTTCCCGGGGCCGCCCTGCACCCTATTAGAGCCCATTTTGCAATAATTGCTCCAGAGGAGGAAATCTATTTGGATTCATCATAAAGTATTTATTAACAAGAGCTTATTCATAATTTTTGCTGCTCGCCGGTGTGGCGCGGCCGGGCGCCCCGGCCTGCTCTGCATCGGAACGCGTTTCCCCGGCCCGGGAAAGAGAGCGGCAGCGCTGGGGCGGGGCAGCGAGGGGGCACGGGGGCAGCTGAGGCTCCCAAGCTGTGCCTTGCCTGTGCACACCCGGCCCCACGACACAGCTGCCCGTGGGGCAGAACACTCTGTTACAGCCACGCTTTCCCCTAGCTCCTGGCTGACCCAGCCCCTCACTTGCAAAAGCCCTCCTGCAGCCCACGCCGGGGCACAGAGCCTCGGCGCTCAGGGCATCTGGCTGGCACCACCGGCACAGGTGGAGGTGAAGGCAGGACACTGTGCAGCCTCCTCGCAGTTTCTCTCTGCAGATCCTGCGGGTTTTTTCCCCCCAGAGCCAAGAGCATCCCCCAGCCAACACCCACACGTGGCTGGGGGCTGTGGGTGGGCTGGACTGTTCTCACTACTGGTTCTGGTGGAAGGGTGAGCAGCCTCATTCGCTGCCGTGATGCTCAGCCCCGCTCAGGATCAGCCCAGGAGCGGGGGGTGGGCTCGTACAGCCCCTGGTGCTCACCACGCACCCAGGACCATGCTGACCACGCACCCCTCAGTGTGCCGCCCTGGGGTCCCCACACCTGGCGCTACCCAAAAACTCCTCTGAGCCACCCCGGAGCAGGCGGGTCCCCGCCGCCCCCGGGGCCGGGCCGGTGCCCACCTG